ATTAGAGAAATGCTTGAAGTTTCCTTTCACCTTCATCCTTCTAATTCCCACTCTTCCTTCTCCCCCAGCCAGAATCTCTCTTTATTTAGCAGCATAATCTTTTCTCCCATTGTGCCCTAACGTATCACTGCTAAGGCTCTCCCCCGCCCAGTGTCTGTGGAAATCCAAGAAAACACCATGCTTCTCAGGGAGAAACCTTGTCTCTAGTTGTTGTGTATTAATTTATACATTCCTTCAACAAAATATTTATTAGGTGCCTATGCCATAAAGATTGTTTTTTTGAAACTGAATTATTTCAGATAAACAATAAAAATAAGCTTTGCAAATCTCTTCAATCTTCAAAGTCAAGAATGGATGGGCATTTGAGAAGTTCCCAGGTGTATTAGTCAACTTTCTATTATTATAACAAAATTACCGAGGCCAGGTACTCTACAAAGGAAAGAGTTCACAGTTATGGGTGTTCACAGTTCTGGACGTCACAGCTCTGGAGGATCACAGTTCAGCTCCACCCTGGTGTGGAACTCAGGGCAGATGGCATATGGCACGAGCACTTGCAAACATGAAAATGCCACATGGAGATACAGGAAGCCAAAACAGTAGGAGAGGCCCATAACAAACTCTTACTAGGCACCTGCTGTAGCTTAGGTTTTGAAAAGTCCCCAAAGGCCCACTGTTAAAGTTTTACTCCTGGTGTGGTGTTGTTGAGAGGTGGTGGAAGATTTAGAAGGTAGAAACTGTGGGGAGGTTTTTAAGTCACTGGGGGCACACTTGGAAGGAGTTTGTGAGACTCTGGCCCTTTCATCTTTCTTTTGTTTCCTGGTAATGAGGTGAGCATTTGGTCTGTGCTATGCACTCCCATCGTGATGTGTGGCCTTGTGATAAGTCCAAAAGCGAGGGAGTCAATCAGTCACGGATTGGAGCTTCCAAAACCTCTGAGCCAGAATAAGCCTTTACTCTTTACTCACTGATTATTTCAAGTATTTTATTAGAATGATAGAAAACTATCTCATGTCTATCTCTGAAAAGTTCAACACTGTCTCTATATGACCACACTGAGCAGGGACCAAGCCTCCAACAAATGCATCCTTGGAGGACAAACCACATCCACACTGCAGGACCATGGAAACATACAAGATGTGCTCCCCAGGAGACAGTGGCCACCTGCAGTCAGAAACTCAGAGGTTCTCCTTTTGCCTATCTCTGAGTGTTACAATGGGCTGTACAAAGATGTCACATCAGTCAAACTCTCTATGCCCTCTCATCTTCATGTGTGCACACCTGGCTCTATCTGTTTGGAAACAGAAGCTTTGCTTTTCTCTCCTCTTCCTAGCTAGACCTTGATACCTATCCTTTCTTTGAAGACTTAGTTCAAGTATCCTTCCTATAACTTCTCACAAAGTCTTCCCTGACTCCCAAAACTCAATTAACCCTGACCCACACCACCTACTTTTTGCTTCTTAGTATTCCGTAACTTTTCTCTTTATACTGGATCACATATTTGAGTATTAGCTTTTTCTCATTTACTTCCATAATTGGGATTAAACTTCCTTATGAGCAAGCTCTAATTCTTTCATCATATATGTAAATCAGATGCACAGGTTTGAAAAGCAATTCAGAGAAACAATTGGTATCAATAGTGAGCTTCAAATTCAAATGTTCCCAGCAACATGATCCTGAATCTAGAAGGTTCTGCTATTATCTTCTTAGGCTTCACGGAGGGTTTGAAGGTAGAATGTATTTTTTTAAAAGATTCTATAACTCAAAGTTGAATAGCATCAGTAAAAATAGCACCATCAGTTGACTCAAGCTTTTCCTTCTCCATAGACAGTACAAGTCCCAACCAGACAATACAAGTTTCAGCGTGCCAGGGGGTAAAAGATGTGTGTGATAGCCATCCATCACTCAGGTGTTTGTGTTATTTGTCCCTTTAAATGTACAAAAATCTATAAGGTTTGCTTGGAGTTTTAATGAGCAGCAGTCTTAAAAATCTAAAATAGTTTCTACAAAGGTCTCAAAGTTAGGTTGGCTTAACACAATCTGAGATATTGAAAAAGAAATATTTTGAAGAAATAAAGTTTCCTTCACAAGGCATGGTGATGTGTGCCAGTAACCTTATCTATTTTGGAGGCTGAAACATGAGGATTGGAAGTTTGAATCCAGCCTGGGCAACTTAGAGATTCTGTTACAAAATTAAGAAAAAGAAAAAAGCTCAGTGGTAAAGTACTTGTCTAACACATAAAGATCCCAAATTCATTCTCAGCCCTGCAAAACTTAATCTTCCCTTACATGAAGCAAATTATACTTTATTATAACTCAGTGCTAGAAACACGAGTAGGTTGCTTCTGCCATGGCTGGTGGTGTCAGCCCAGAGTTTGCTCAGTGTAGGAGGGGTGATTGTTACTCAGCTCTTCCGTCAACCTATCAGAGTAAAATATATTGGAAAATCACTTTATCTGTGTCCTTCACTAGTCACTAAATCCAAGTAAAAATCACTTCAGTTATAGTGTATTGAAACCAGAAAGAATAATATAGAACAATTAACCCAACTTTCACCAGTTAAATTAGAAAGTGGAGTTCTGGGACAGTGAAGAGACTTTCTTCCCCCATGAAATACATTTAGACAGTGGCAAACCAATGTGGAATTCCAATGCAATATACAAGTTATTATTGAACTCTCAGTTGAGCTTCCCATTTAAAGATGATTTGTTCTGTAATGCACACTTGTTGCCTTAATTTATTTTACATGTATTCTCTTTACCCCTTTAAGCATTGGGACATATCCACACTCCTCTCGCTGCTTGGAGAAAAGAAAGGCAAGGATGGGAGGCAGTGTATATCAAGGGTAAAGGCAGTGGAGAGCCATGAGAGGACAGTTTGAGAACATTAATTCAAGTCTCACAATCCCCTTAGAAATAATCTGTGCTCCATTCCACAGGTGAGTGCTAACAGCTCCACAGCTCTACAGTTCTACTCTTCAGAACATTCCTCTCAGGCAACATTGTAATAAGGTGTATAAGTTTATCTCTCAGATTATTAAAAAACGTACAATGGCATATTTTAATTGCAGTATCCTACACATTCCAGTAAATTAAAACATTCAGTATAGTTTAAAAAAAAAGATCTTGCCTCTGAACCACTCTTTGCTATTCTGTATAAACACTGTCATATAGGAGCATAAGAATTTTCTGTGGATTAAAAAGAGTCACAAAATATGGAGATGGAGATGTGGCTCAGTGGTGGAGTGCTTGTCCAGCATGCAAGAAGTCCTGGGTTTGAACTCCAGCACACAAACACACAGACACATACACACGTGTACACATAGACACACACACACACAGAGACAGAGAGAGGGAGAGAGGGAGAAAGGGAGAGAGGGAGAGAGAGATACTCACAAAGTGCATCGATATTACTATTGATGGTAAAATATATTCAACAATGAGAAATAATTTTTAACATATTCCATTCATATATTTTTAAACATTATGCATATTTACAAGAATACATAAGGTAAAATTAGTAACAATGTCAAATTCTCAATAAACATGTAATGATTATTTATAAAATGCACAATAATGTCACGGGATCTCAAAATTCTTGGAAGTCTGATTTAACAAACACACTTGAGTCAACTGTTCGTCAGGCAGTGAGCTAATGAGAATATACAACAATTTTAAATAAGTGAGCTAAAGACATTTGGTAATATTGCAAAAAAGTCAATTTGCAATTTTTGTAATTACAAAAATAAAAAAGGAAATGGCTCTGCCTGTTTCTCAGGCTTTTGGTAGAGTAGATGAGAGGGAGGCATAGTAATCACAGGATCTAACATTACAACCCTTCCTCCTCCGCAGGGATGGCCCAGTGGTCACTATGTATCCCCTAGCTGCAGTCTAATTACTATAGCTTGACTGCCACTAGCTTCTTTTATCTGCCTCTGTTTAAATAATTTGTGCTTTTGCCAGCAGGAAATGGGTCCCCGGAGACTTCATTTTCAACCACCAGAAAGCACTGTTGCAAACAATTACTGTGCTCTGCTGTTTTCTTCTCAAAAATCATTTTTATATTATTTTGGAGGTGGACATTATCAAAAAAAGAAGGCTTAATTTTTAAAAGACTCATATTTATATTTATTAAATCATACAGCCTTCTTAGGCAAATACTAACAATTCCTTTAAGGTTAAAGTTAGATTATAGAAGAATCACTTTTATTTCTTAAAATAATGATGGACCAAACTAAATTTATTCAAATGCATTCTTAATGGGAGAACATCCCTACCTCTCTGATCAGGTAAAGTTGTAGAGTTAAATTTTCTAATAAGATGTTCATTCTTCTATTCACTATAGAAGAATTCCCTCCAGAATATTGCTCCATCTAAAACTGTTAACCAACAAATTACCCCTGTGTCCAAGGACTTTTCTTCTGTCCATCAACTCGCCTGCTAGTATATAAGGAAACCAAGGTACAAAAAACAATGAGAAATCACCTCTGCCTTACTACAAACCTGGCTTCCTCCCCCTTCTCCTAAGTGTCCAACATTTTTCTGGATGCTTCATACACACAATATCACCTATGACATACTTTCAATGTCTCCATTTTAGACGTGAGGAAACTGAGAAGTAGAGGAGGTAAATGCATTGCCCAAAACTCACAGCTAGTAAGTAATGGAGCCTGAATTCAAAGCAGACTGATGCTGGCATCCACATTTTTCACCATAATTTTTTTATTCTAAATAAGCACTTGTAGAATTGGTATCTCCTTGGGAAAAAAAATGATGTTCTAGATACTAAATAATGTATAAAATATTCCATCCCTGGCCCCAGCTAGAATCTTCCAAAATCTCAGTACTTTTTATAGATAAAAAGCAAATCCTCATCTGCAGTCATGCACCTGGCTGCCCTCAGTTTAGCCACAAAGCACAATGCTGCTGCTATCTCTGGGCATCCTCCCTCAAGTCGATAGTCAGGAAGTCTCCTCTTTGAAACTAAAATAATGTAATTCTCACCTTTCCAGGCATGAGTGGGGCAAGGCTGCAAGTCCTTTGCACATCTTGGTAGTGGATTAGCTCGTTAGCTCTAAACAAAACTTCTCAACAGCAAAATGGGTCTTTGAAAAGTTCAACACTGTCTGGAGCTGTCTTTCCTGCTGAGCAATATATAGTGGCTCTTTTCCAGCCCTCTGTGTCTCACTGGACCAATCCAGAGCTTTAGAGCAAGTTGCAGGCTGGAGAGCAGCAGCAAGTATGTGTGAGGTGGAGGCTGCTGGAATCCTTTCCCTGCTTGTTGCAGGCGCTGCATGAAGGTTTTCTGTTTTATCACAACACTGCTGCTGAGCCAGCGAGGGCAGGGTTAGGCCCTAAATTGTGCTCAGGCCCTTTATGTCTGAACCCTGTAATCTCAGGCCAGCCACAGCAAAGACGTAGGCTTTCTTGAAGAGCTAAGTGCCGCAGGCCCCTACAGATCTTTCAAGTGATATACAAGGGCCCCTGGAGATCAGGAAGCTAAGCCTTGTTTCACAGTGAAAGGAACTATGCTCTTCTTTCAAGGTGGTGGCAATGTGTGTGAGTATTTACCATGTGCTAGGCACCTTGATGCAGGGAATTAGATTAAACGTTGCACGGTTTTTCTTATATGCGAAATCCAAGATATAAATAATTTAAAGAGCAAAATAAAAGAAACATGATAGGAAACAGGGATACAGATTTGTGGAGATGGGAAAGGCCTCTAGGAATGGAGGGAAATGAGAGGGAGGAGAGAGGAATGGAAACTGTAAAGCATCAAGATGTGATATGTATATGTACCAATTCCCTATAATAAATATATACATTGTGTGTCATAAAAATGTACTAATAAAATCCTTAAAAAAAACCTCCTTGATCTGGAGACCCAGACATATCTACACAGTATAGGTAAGCAAGGCAGGTAGCTTAAGGTGTGGGGAGCCTTCCAGAGGCACAAGGGAAGATTTTCCAGAGCTGAGTGACAGAGGAAATAAAGATCATCAACTTTATGAATCAAGAAACACGTGAATAATTACTGTACACTCTACATGAGTTCCTGTTTACATGGTGATATTACAAATGATCAGGGATATCACACATAGAAGTCTTCATAGGGAATGCGTGTAAAAAGATGGGAAGAGAAAAGATGATTCTTTTCACTATATCTCAGCTCTCCTAATGTAAACAACAAGCCCAAACAGACCTTTAAAAGTTAGAATTATTTTTTTTTCTTTTAGAGACAAGCTGTGTCTCCAAACTTCTTCGTGCCTGGCATGCAACTGTCACCCCATCCTCTCCTCAGCCCAGAGGAAGCAACAGCATATGCAAATGCACGTCTCAGGAGGTGGGTTTGCTTGCTTTCCAGGGAAGAGAAGGAGCATGGAAGAGCCAGAGGAATATAACACAGGAGTGCAGTTGTCTGTTGTCTCCTTGTTTCCCTCAGTCCTCTCTTTCTTACTATAAGAGACCCTTGCACACCAAGACACGGTGAAATGGTGAACTCTGACTGTAACAGACCCCCCTCTCCCCACAGAGCTTCCTCTGTATAAATGAAACCTCCCTTGGTTTCTGGAAGAAGTGGTGAGACTATACATCTGAGAAACCAGTAACACTTATTCTGCTGTTCTGGCAATTCTTTACTTAGATGACTAGACTAGATAATTCCTTGGACATCTCCCTCTCCATACATCCATGCATCCTTCCCCTTCAATCTTTTCCTGCCTCTTTTAACTCAAGGAGTATTTCCACCAAACTTTACCTGAATTGTGTCTCCTCTTACTGAGGCCCAAACTACTGACAAATTCACACACAGGGTAAATGTCTAAGGGACAGTCCGAAGTCCAAGCTAATTATAAGCAACTTTGCAGAATCTTAAGAAAATAATTAAATTTAGAATGAAAGATAATTTCCCTATTATCTGAAGTTATTCATTGTGACTACCTGCTCATATATCCTTTAGTTGAAACTGCTGATTAAGACCTGTTATTGGCTCGTAAAGTCAAATCTGATCCAAAGTTTAAATAAAATAACTATGACAAAAATATCCAATGTGAAAATCAGGTTTTTGACTGTCTCCTAAAATTTAATCTGATGAAGTATTAAAGAACCCAAATTAGCTGAGTGTAGTGGTGCATGTCTATAATTTCAACACTCCGGGAGGCAGAGACAAAAGGATTGTACATCTGAGCCAATCCTGGGCAACTTAGCCAAATGAAAGACTCCATAGCGATATACATTAAAAGGACCTGGGATGTAGCTTAGTATAATGGTCTTGGGTTCAATGCCCCAATACTGAAAAAAAGAATCAAAGTTATACCAAAAAAAAAAAAAGAGACTGGAATGCAAAATACAAAATTCAATAGCAATAAATACTTAGAAATAGGCCATCACATTCTCAGTGATTTCAATCTCTTCATGGAAGGTCAACAGCCTGTGCAAAAGTGGTAACTAGTGGAATAAGGGAAAGAATCTGGCGATGTCCCACCGAGGAGCCTAAGACACAGAGGCTGAAAGCCAGAGTAAGCTGTGGAGATGGGAGGAGTGAAAGTCTTCATATGAAAAGGTCTCCTGCTCACAGAGATGCTCAGATTCATTTAAGATTTATTTTCTTCGTCAAGTTATTTAGAAACATCTGAATTTTAACCATTAGATACATCTTTTTGAGATGCATTTTGCAATTTCTGATCTGCGACCGCTGGGACTTTGTGACTGAGGACAAATAGTCATTTCTCCACGGTGGATCTCCCTAATTGCTGCAGAGATGCCCAGGAAGGTTAGATTTACACAGAATAAACAGAGGCAAATTCCTAGCCTTACATGTTTCTTAATTTTTTTATCCTGATAAAATTTTAAAACTACAAAGATCAAATTACAGTTGTACCGCTAGAAGGACACACTCCTCACAGGTTATATTATTTGCTTCCAGTTTTTCTTTCTTTAAGGAAATAAAGAGACAAAGGATGAAACAAAGGTTTCTTACTGGCAGCTCCAATTTCTCCTTTTTCACTTTCATCAAACTCAGCCCCATTCGGATTTTAACATGCAGCCTTCCAGACTCTTGATATTTTCATACACTTACAGCTAGTCTCTGAATGTGTCCTCCAAAATACAGTCAAATTGCTTTGTTTTGTTTTTCTTCTTCAACTCTCCAGCCTCAAACTTGCAGCAATCCTCCTGACTCAGCCTCTGGGAGCAGCGATCACAGGCGTCATCACTGTTCTTGGTACCTGTGTTGAATCTTAATTGCCAGCGGTGACAGTACAAACAAGGAAACAAGTAGCTTCTTCAATGGAGGTGACTAAGGTTCGAAGATAAAGCCCTCAGGGTTGAGAGTTGGGCCTTTATAACTGTGCTGTGCAAGTAAGTTCATTTTCTTATTCCCTTTCTTCTTCTCCTTCCCTGTGTGAAGACACAGCAACAAGATTTCACCTTGAAAGCTGAGAATAGCTCTTCACAGAAAATAAACCTTCATTGAGTTTAGACTTGACAGCCCCCAGAACTGTGAGAAATAAGCTTCTGCTGTCTACAAATTATCTACTCTCTTGTTTGGTTGTAAGAGAACAGATTAAGACCATATGGCTTTATGAAAAACATTTAGTCATTCCTTGCGAGTATTGTATTTTGATTTCTATAAATAGCAATATATTCTGAATCTTTTTTCACTCACAGTTATGAAGTTTTATTTTTGTTTTTGGTTATAACGACAATTACCAGTATAAAACATTTTCCATGTACCAGATACTTTAAAACATTTTTCCATGGATTTATGTATTTAATTCTCACAATAAAAGTGTGAGTTAATTGATATAATTATTATCATTTTAAAAATGATAGAAAGTGCTGGTCTTTTAGATGAAGATGAAATTATCAGGGTTAAAAAAGCCACAACAGTAAAATAGCAAGTATGGAGCCAACACTCTTCCTCTAATTCATGCCAGAAATAATTTTATGTTATACAAAAATAATTATGTTCCTCTATACACATTGTTGAACATGTAGGTCATTTACATTCACTTTTACTCCTGGCAAACGTAATTTAATATCTCCATATACGTTCCCTAAAGCAGTTTCTCTATAATTCAATCTATTGCTGGATCATGAGACACAGCACTACAAATTCATAAAGTGAACAGAAAATCATCATTTCCTTCTCATTTGTGCCAGTGTATCACATTGCTAGTGACAGGCAAAAAAAATAATATTTTAATTTTCACCTTTGTGATTACTTGTGAAACCTGAGCTTCTGTTCATATTTATACTGGGTGTGGGAATCTTTGTCTTGTTTTTATTGTTATTCTCCTATTTTAAACATTTTTAAATTTGGCTTGTCAATATTGATATGAAGATTTCTATGGATAAAAAAATCAAATGAAAATAAGAAAGGAGAATAAAACGGTAAAATTATATCATCGTTACTTAGGTAGTAGGTTACATTTTACGATACCAGTGGAATCAGGTAAATGACATAATAAACAGGAGATAAAAGCCAGTAAAAATATATATGTATGTATAAAAGTAATCATAATAAAAAATAAGACTATTCCAAATACCAAAACCAAAAATCATAAAGATTAATGAGCAAACATTTCACAGAGAATAAAGATAGAAAATATCAGCTAATATTCATAACTACACAAATCATAAGAGTTGGAACCAACTATATAAATTATATCAAGAAATATAATTGGGTACATGTTGCCTTTTAGAAAAGTTCTAATTTAGAAAAGTTACAAAATAAGATCTGACCATAGTCTGCAACCAAGGGGCATATTTAAAGTCAAATGACCTAGAGTGGTCAAATAAAGAAAAAAATAGCACGATATATTATACTAACCCACTTTGATTTCCTATTAACTTGATTTGAAACCCTGTATTGCTCTCACCATCTTGTTTTGACTGATTTTCCTCTGTTCTGTTTTGCTTGATAGTACCAAGTTCAAGAGTATAGGCAACAACTGTGAAGACAATAGGATTCACTACGATGCCCATTCTGGTTTGACTATTATCTTCTTTTGAAGTCTTGTAATGTCTCCAATGTTTTGGTTTTATTAGTTTTGTTCTTTACTGTTTTGTTCAATTTTATTGTAACTGATGATATAGGCAATTCTTTTTAAGATAGCAAGAGGCATTATGGTAACCATTGTTGATCACCTTGTATTTTGTTTTTACAGTATGTATTATGTCCATCCTTTTGATTTGACTGACTCTGTTTTG